ATTTTTACTTTATTCGGCATTAAAACCTCAATATACTAGACTATAAATGTGTTAAAATGTATAAAAAGCACTTATTTGCTATGGAAATTGTAAATGTAGCTAAATAAAAACTCCTACAACTTCCAAACCCTTTGAGATCCCATTTTAAAATTTTTACATAGCAATAACAATAATTTTGTCTATTTGTCATAAAATTAAGAAAAACAAAATATGCTTTTTTAAGATATTCAAGGATAAAGGACATTTGCCACTATTCGGTCCTTGCGCCAGGATTTCATGCAATTTTAGTGAAATGTCAAAAACGAATCAAAGACCTGTCGAACGAAACATCATTTGTTAAAATCGGATAACTGGTTTCAAAGTTATTCAGTCATCAACATTTATAATTTTGAACAAAAATACCTGAGATGCCCGACTTTATATATATACATTGTTGGGTCTCAGATGAATATTTCTTGGTGTTACACACGGAATGACAAACTTATATGTACCCTCTATCACCACTGATGGTGGTGGAGGAAATAAAAAACAATTAAATTGTTCTAAAAACTCTAGATTAACATTGTTTCTTATAATTTTTCACAATAAATTCATTTGAAAATTAATTTATGACAAATAAAATCAATTTAATTCTTTAACAAATTTCAAATTCACCAAATATTGTAATGTGCGCCAAGGCAATCCATTAATGTACAAATTGTTACAAATTTTGGAGTACGAAAAAACCCATACAATTTTCATTCTGTTATTCAAATTCGTCATTTAACTCTTTTAATATTTGAAACATTTCAAGTCTATTACATTCTTCAAACTTCCTCAAACATTTCTTTTTCGAAAAATTATCAACCTTTCGACGAAAAATAAGAATGACAGGATAGTTTTTTAAAAATCTTTTCACGGTGGGGCTGGATAATACCATCGAATTGAACATAATTTTTGTCTATTAGTCAAATAGGCAAATGTGTATTGTATTTCAACAACTAATTTTTCTATCAATAGTCTCCCTATTGTTTACATTACCAGAACCACTCTCGTTATTGGCTCCAGGACATTGGTGCTGCTACATTCGGTTTAGTAGGTTCTGGTGTCGAACATATATTCGGCTTCCACATCCTCAAGGGTAAATATGGGCTTATCCTTATACATTTTCATAGAGGGATTTACGTTAACATTTAAAATTATTTATTTTATGTGGGCTAGGGTCTAATGAGCACCAATCATTATGGAAATCGGTAGTATCTTTTAGAATTTTATGAAATAAAGTTTCGGTGATTTTGTAGTGATACTACACTGAAAATAATCCATGCCTAATATACACGAAAAATGTTGTACATTGTACGAAATGCTTCGTGGTTTCGCACCACGAAATTCTTTCGTAATATATACGAAATTGTACGAAATATTTTAGTAAAATGCAAAATAATTTTATATAATTTTAGAAAAAAAATTTATTCATTTTACGATTTTTTTAAAGACATAAATATTTTAGTTCTTTTAAAATAATTATTGTAAATTTAGAAAAAGATTGCGAATTAAAAAAAAAACAAATTTTTTATGTTTTTTAAAAAAACATAAAAAATTTTACAGGAAATTAGGCAGCTAATTTCCTGTAAATTAAAAATTAATTTAACACCCTTAAAATAACAAAAAAAAAAAATCGTAACAAAATAATTTTTTTGTGAAATCAAAAATAATTCTTGTATATTACTAAATAATCTTGTTACGAAAAAAATTCGTTACTTTCGTTAAATATTACATGCCTTAACGAAATTATTTTTGTAAAAGAAAACAAAGTTTCTTAATATATACGAAAAAAGATATTACGACAGGTTTTCGTACTTTCGTAAAATTAGAAAAGGGGTTGATTAAACAATATTTCGTATCATACACGAAATTTTCGTATATATTACGAAAAAAGTAGTTGCGAAAATTTTTTTCGTAAAGTTAAGCATGGATTATTTTCAGTGTAGAACATTTAATACAATTTTGAAGTCAAAAGCCCTATTTGGGGGTATGGTTGCATGGGGACTAATTGAAATAGAGAACCGATTTTAACCATTTTCAAAAGAACCGTTTGTGCAAAATTTAATAAAAAATTTATTAAAAAGACAGATGGACGGACATAGCTCAATCTACCCAGAAAATGATTCTGATTAGTATATTTTAAGGTAGTGTAGGACCTATATTATTGTGCGTTATAAACATCGGCACAAAATCAATACACCCTCCCTAAAAATCTTTTCGGCAAAAGGATTTAAAATTTTTTTAAATTACACATGGGCTCACACATGGAAATAAAAATTACACACAATATGTATTTATTATTACACATGAAGTGGCAACACTGACGATGGAGCAACCTTTTCATAATATTAAGTTGCGAATCACAGACTAATTATCTTTTCTTAAGTTTTCGTACGTTAGTGAAGCAAAATCTTATTTTACCTCACATAAATATTTTTTAATTCTAGATTACCGTTAATTCATGGAACCATGTGGATGTTTTTTTAATAATATTGAGCCTGATGAAATTCAAAACAGTTTATTTAGTGTAGGATAACGAAATTTAATATTTTGTAGCTACCTATTGAATGTTTGGTTGTATGTAAGCATGTTTTCTAAGTATGTAGTGTATAATGTAACAACATTTGTTAGCTTTAAAGTCGGTTGGTGTATGTCTGCCAGACAGACTGGTTGTTTGATTTTCAATTAATTAACACTTGATTAAATTTTGCGACGATTTCATTTGGAAAACAGTGAGTGCATTTGGAAACAATACATTAACTATGTGTGAGTCGTTTTTTATCAGCAATTTTAAATTTGCATTTTTACACATACAAACTGATACATATTCAACAGATTGTGGATGTGTGCGCTTATATATTTAATAACTGCTAACAATGTAAAAAATCAAGTCATCTCTGCAGGCGAAAGAAGACTGACGACTAAATATCTACTGTATTTTATTTAGGAGGAATTTAGTTTTGTTGGTGCTGTTTTATTACGATGACCACAGTTGACTGTCGACTGTAAAGAGAACCATTAAACGGTGTTAAATACACTCATAAAACAAGTTAATCCATAAAATTAAATGGATTTTTATATTAGCTTAATGTCTGCTTCCTTCTTTGCCTGACTAAATGACTGGCCCTGCTTTTTGCCAACTGGTTGGTTAATCGGGTCCTCTTTCTCTCTATCTGCTTCTGGCCGGATAGCTGACCGGCTAAAAAGCTGTCATATTAACCTTATGGTGTTGTATTGGCATCACGCTCCATTAGCAGTAGTAAAAACATACACACAGCAACAGTAGCAGAAAGAACAAACAACAACTGTTTAAGTAGCGCCACTAAATTCAGAAGAGTCATGCACTTGTTGATTTTTATTAAATGTTGTAATAAAATAACAGTTAAGTTGTAAACTTTATTTCATTGCCAACCATGTGAATGTGTGTACTGTGTTTAGAAGGTTGATGAGAGTTTTTCCGAGTATTTATAATAAATAAACTACAAATCCATGAAGGATACATGGCACTAAGATGCATGTGTGTACTGAATTTTTCAAAAAAGTGTCCATGAATCAAAGAAAAAAACGAAAAAGAAGTAAACATAAATGTTACAAATAGAATTATGTAGATGTACATATAAAAATCATATAAAAATAAAATAAAAAGATCGTAAATAAAATCACGAATGGATGAATGATATATTTTATATGTACATATGTATGTACACAGAAAAAACTGGAGCTCTGAAATTGCCTACAATTTTTTTTGTCATAAATAGACAATTTATTGATTAAAAATTTTGTTAAGTTAGTCAAAAGGTGTCTTTAGAAAAATAGCAACTGATAAATTCACTTAATAAAATAATTAATCCGTTTGAATAAAAAAATTAGTCAGTTTGATTAATTCACCTACAATTTTGTAATCGAGGACATTTTCTTGTACTTTTTCTGTTGTTGCTATGCAATTTACTGGTATGTTTTCGTGTTTATGTTTATTTTGCAAATCAAAGTGGACGGACGTATTTTGTTAAGAATGATCTGTTAAAAAATAAAAGTAATTATAATTGTAATAATTTAATACGCATTTGTACTTAAAGTGAAGAGTGATTATAAACAAATATACATAATCGTATTTTTTTAAATTATTTACATCTATAATTTTTCTTCGGAAGCTGATGAGTCATTTGAATCCGCATAAATATTTATTTACACGATTAAAAATTATATTCTAACCCACAACCCCCAGATACACCACCAACTAGCCTACCAGGGCATCCTCCACAGATATATATGTTGTGGAAAAAAATATACTTAAATACAAATTAACTATTATATAATTTCAGGAATATTATTATAATACTGTCTTTTGTCTTTTAAAACGTAATGAATTAGGTAAGATTATACTATAGTAGCGATGAAATGGATTTATATTGGAGAAAATGTTAAAAATGTATGTTCAATTCACAATCAAGTTGTATATTGTACCTACTAAAGTGTAGTAACAGTGATTGTGAACAGATCTTTGCAGCAAGTCATAAGTTTATGTTTTCAATGAAAAAAAAAAAAAAAACAATCAAAACAAATATACATAACAATGTCAAAAGATAAAAAAATCAAAAAAATATTAAATTAATTAAACATGCGAAATAAACCAAATTAATTTCTTTGAATTTTCAATGCTTTTATATTCTTTATTCCACATTTTAAACTAATAAATAAACAGTTTTTAATAAAATTTTAGTTTTTTTGTTTTGGTAAACAGCTGTTTGTTTTTGATTTCAGTGTTACCACTTTATCGTTTTTTATAAAATCGTTTGAATTTTTTGTTTATATGTCGAAATAAACAATTGGCAACACTAAACTTTCTTACAACATTCGAAAAACATATGAAAAATTGTCGTAGGAGTTGTATAGTGCTTTTGCATAGAAAATACCAACAACATTGTTATGACTATTGTAGCAGCTGCTGATATACAACGCCTACAACGCTACAACATCGATTGTGAATTGAACAGTAGATTTCAGCAAATTGAGGTATCAAAGTCTTTATCAAGATGTTAAAATGTTGTCCTGAATACATAAAACCTTCCATAAGTTAACTCTTAATACACTATAAATTAGAATATTTTTAACTAACTTAAATTTTACTGATTGACATAGATTTTGATCTGAAGTGGGTTTTTACGGAAAATATGTAATTTGTTACATCTACTTCAGACTAAAGTACCAAACGTTTCTGTTACAACAATGCTTAAAAATTTGAAGTCGTGCAATGATGGTAAGCTGCTATATTATTGACATTAATATAATTGACATTTAACATTTACATAATTACATTTTATTTATTTTTTATCAGAATCAAGGATATTTTCTATTCTATACGTCCTACATTACTTGTTTCCACCTTAGGAGCCCAAACCAGAAAAAAGTTTACCGTTACAGATTCCCATAATTCGTTTGCCACAGTTGCAGAAACTAAAGAGAAGCTGAATATGAAATTAAAACTCCTTAAACTTCAACATAGTACAATCCAACCAAGGTTGCTTAAAACTTAAAAATTATTTCTCAATTTGAAGTGTTATTTTAAATATTAATTATTTATATTCCTAAAATGTACAATATAATATTGTATTTTATTGTAATCATGATACAATAAACAGGTATATGCAATCGAACAGCTGATTATTTTTTTATTTCTCAGTGGTATAGGTTCTCTGTCAAAGTTTTTTGTTATTGTTTATTTTAAATGACAGTGAAAAAAATTAATTTCAATTTTAAATAAATTTATTAAAGATTGTAAAAAAGTTTGAAGCTGTTCAATAAAAAATATATCTATATGTAAACAATGAGCGCAGATTCCTCAGAGGAGGGTCCCTCTTCGGCCGAACGTGAAAACGTCTTGGAAAAACTTAAACTTTTAGTGCATTTATATATGTACATCAATAAACCCTACAGCAGGCCGAATTAATTGACAAATTGCATCTGCAACATGAGGCTAAGATCGATGCCATTGCTTGTTTGTGGGTACAATAAACCACACCCATTATAAATAATTTACCTAGTGATCGTTATGAATCGAATGAAATGATCGATATGGTCTGGAAATTTAATGCCTGTGTCATTAAAAATCGGTTTTTGCGGTCTTACTGAAAATTGGAGCCGTAAAATTATTATAGTGGATTGATGTACTCTTAAGATGTAGATGTATTATTAAGATGAAAAATATAACAAAAGATTTGCGAGTTCTTTAAATAAATTAAGGCAAGGAGAACTAATAGATTAGGCTTAGATCGGATTATTCTGGACAAAGACTGGACTATATATTATTCCATAGTCTGTACAATAGATCAGCCTAAAACCTGGACTATATCCCAGTTTACAATCCTAACCATATAGTAGGGATCAGGGATGGCAAATTTGGTACGATGGTACTTTTTTTGATACTATTTGATGTTCAAAAGTACCGTGATACTCCCGAGTCTTATTTGATACTCTCAGGCTAATATCTCAACCTCCGGTTATCGTTTAACAGGTGGATATACTGCCGGTTAAAATAATTTTTGTATGTAAAATGTCAATTTATCGTTATGATAAAACATAATCAGACAATGAGAAAATGGGGGTCAAAGTATATTTAAAAGTTCAAATTTGAAATTCTAAGAATGTTTTGAAATCTAGTTTTAAAAGCCACTTTTTAGAAGTATGTTTTGCAAATAACCAATGCAGCTCATTTCGAATTTTTATCTTGATTGACATTATATGAATATTAATCTAATTAAATTCCATTGTTAATATTATATGAAAAAATTACCAAAAATTTCAATTTTGAAAAAATATTTAACTTTAAAACTAATTATTTCCAAATGATAGAAGCTCGAAGGACTCAATTTCTATCTAATATAAAACGATATGTTTTGAAATTAAGAATTCAACCATATATAATAAGATAAATTTTTGGTGAAAATTATTTGGACTTTAAAGCAAATTACTTTTTCATGTCATGGATGGTCTTATGTATGGTCTCATGTGTAGAATTTGATATGACTATTGATTTTTTAACAAATGAACACCTATGTACATCGAATTTTAATTTAATAACACATATGTATATTAGAGTTCATTCTAAGATACCATTTCTCAAAAATTTTGTCCTGACGTCAATATTTGGTGAGCTGGATCAAAGGATAAAAAGGTCCTTTTTAGGGTTTTTATGTTATTTTTTTCACATTTTTGACAAATAAACCATATGCAAATTTAGTATCATATGAAAGGTCCTTGGGAGACGATTTCAATGACATACACAAATTTGTATACAACACCAAAATGATTACAAATGTCGTAATTTTTCGGGAAAATTTTAAGTTTTTCATATTTTTACATATAAATATATAATGTAATTAATTGAAATTATTATATTATAAACCTCACCTCACCTAAATTTCACCGAAATGTTTTTTTCTGTTTTTCGAAATTCTTTATATTTTGTATTTTATCTTAATATTTTAAACTCTATTTTGTCCCAGGTATTCTGTTAGCTATATTTATCTAACATACTTAATATGTACATCAGCATACGCGTAATTTCATTAGCTTTACAATGGTATATAACACTTTATTCTATTACTCTATTATCAATCAAATTTTTCAGTTTAACTATTTACCAATGTCGGTTTTTTCTAAATGTTGATTTTTTTGATTATCGAATAAACCGGTTTTTTAACTTTTTAAAAGCCGGTTTCGAATACTTTTATTTGCTTTGTATTCAAAGATTACTTCAATTAAATTTTGAAATAAATAATAATACCTGTCTAAATTTTAAAATATTCGAGTCAAGAAACTAGAGTATATTTTTCTAAAGCACCTTTAATTAAACTTTTTTGATTTTCCTAATAATTTAAAAAAATTATTTGTAAAATTGATTGGAATAACTGTTGGATAAAATTTTATCAATCTTAAGATTATATTCCAATTACAATAATTAATTTGGCGCTGAAATATTATAGCAGTGTTGGAATGCCTATGAAAATTTACTAAACAGGAACTTTAGAATAAACTAGGATTATGATCCTTCCCAATTTTTTACATTAAAGAAATAATGTTTATTTTAAAAAATCAGTTCGGGTCATAATTTTTTTTCAAATTAAACTAGATGTTTTTATGTATAATAAAAATCCGTTTTCTCTGAATTTGAAAAATATCAACCGGTTTTTTTCAAATGTCAACTATTCGAACTACTCGAAAACTGGTTTTTTGAAAATGTCGAATAATCGATCACCCTACGGTAAATACCTTTTCTACTTCTGTTGTTAATTATTAAAAAATGTCTAAATATGTGAAGGTGTATTTAAAAAATTAACAACTTTCAGCAAAAAAAAAATATTTTAGTACTCTAAGATCCAAAAAAGTACCCTCTGAAATATTTTTTGATACTGAAACAAAATCTCATTTTCCATCCCTGGTAGGGATATAGGCGAAACTGAAGGGGTTGTCAAACAAAATTTGTTACTCTCTTCACACAGACGCGTTCTGAGGGAATAAAACACACTAAACGCACTCACAAACCTTCAAATTTTCTTCGCGAAATTGCGAGGATATTAGCACTTAAAAGGTTTTCTTATCACTTAAACTTAATATTTATTATTTTTAGCCACACATTTTACAAACAAAAAAAAATATTTTTTATTCTTTGACATTTCATTTTAATTAAAACTGAAAAAAGAAAAGATGTAAATTTTCGTATTGAAAATGAAAAAAGTATTTCACATACTTTTTTTATTTGTCCATTAGTGCAGAAAAAAAACAAAAAGACGTGTTTATAACATGTTTTAAGATGAAATATCTCCTAAAAAATTAATTAACTAATATTTTCATTTACTAGTATAAGAAATCCCAGTAATAATATACAAAAAATAAGGTATAAAATATGCATTTATTATTTAGTATCTTTTGAACAACTGTGTTTATTTTTGTGCTTCTACTCACCAGTTAGGTTTTTGACGGGGGATTTAGGTCTTTGACAATCCCTTTTGCCTATATGCTACTATATGGTCCTAACTATAAATAAGTATGTATATAACCAAGACTGTAGATCATTCCAAGGACTAGATTAGTTGTTTGTCACACAAAACAAAACAATGTAGGTATATTAAGATAATTTATATCATGCTTAGATTTTCTTCCACAATACGATAAATTGCTTTTTATTTTCTAAATTATGTTTTTAAAATAAAATATTGTTTTGTTTTTTAAGACAAACATCTAAACATTCTTATATTATTTATATTTAAGTCAGTTGATTTTGACATTAAGGCCACGATCGGCAACTCCTATACACTGTGTATTTTGGCCGTTACTAATTTACACAGACTACTCACACGCATAAAAAACACAATTCAGTCTCATATGAGCTGTCATTGAAGGAGGTTGTGTCGTCGCTCGTTTCTTGCTTTTGCAATGGAAATGAACGAAAATGTATTAATGCAGGGATATATAATTCTAATTATTGTTGTACTTTTTTAGCATCTACACTACATATTAAGTAGTTTTTAGAATTATAAACCTTTTTAAATGTTTTTTCTTACAACTAAAGTAGCAAATTATAATAATTTACCAAAATATATATGCAATTATGTTAAATCTTTTCCCTTAATAGGTATATATTTTATTAAAAATTTTGTTAAAAAGCTCATATTTCTATTTCAATATTTAAAATAAATATGTGCAAATAAGCCCAAAAAATATTTGCTACTTTTAAACTAAAAAAATATTAGGGATATTCACGGTTTGCTGGTTATTGAAGTATCATTTTATAAAATTAAAAATAAACTCTTGAGTACCGTGAACATCAATTTATATGAATTGGTTTTAACATCGAAATTTTGTTTTAATGACCCAGAGATTATTTTTAAAGCATAAACAAATTTTTGAACATTACTGCGAATTTTCGAACTTATGTAATTTCGAATATTCGAACTTAATGTCGTATTGTAACCAAGTAGATTTATGACTATCAAGTTTCAGCAATTTCGGTGTACGGGAACTGTATTTAACAGCTTTAAAAATTTTCGAACATAAGTTCGAAATTTCGATTTTTTTTAGATTTTATGATCCAGAGATTATTTTATAAAAAATAAAAAAATTTTCGAACATTACTTCGAATTTTCGAACTTAATTTTGAATATTCGAACATAATATTGTATTTTCATCAAGGGTACTCATCACTAAAAAATTTCTGCAATTTCGGTCTGCGGGAACTGGTTTTAACGGCTTTCAAAATTTTTCGAGCATAGATTCGGTTTTTTTCGTGTTTTACTTTGAACTTTCGAATTTAGTTTCGAATATTTGAAACATCATTCGCTTAAAAATTAGTTTTTTGTGTATTTTTATTAAAAAAAAAAATTGTTTACCAACACTGAAAATAACCCGAAAACAAATAATTTCTATGCCAAGGGTAAGGGTTGGGAAAATTGGGTTATGTTTTTTTACT